GTTTCATTCCTGAGAAAGTACATTCTTTCTGAATCAGGAGCGAAAAAATCGGAATTCTGCCCGTAGTTCTCTATTTTCTCCATCAGAACTCATTTTTTATGCAATAAAAATATCATATTCGGAGTTTGCGTCGAAAACCAAATCGAATGATATACTTTTTTACCCTATCCGACCACCTTTGTTTTTTTCGAATTTTCTCCAAGAATTACTGAGATTTTCACCAAAAAATGAAAATCAACAAAAACTTTTGAAACATGTATCATTCGACTTGGTTTTCGACGCAAACTTCGAATATGGTATTTTTATTGCATAAAAAATGAGTAAAACATCCTCACAAAATGAGATTTATAGTAAGATGCACAAATGTTATTAAAAAAGTAGTGTGATTTTTAAAATCCGACGTGAACAATCAGAAATCAGTGTTAGTTCCTTGGTCTCACTGGAAGATTGTATTATATCAATCAAATCTGAGACCATGTTCACTGAAGCGTCTTTCGCATACGAAGGCATTCGCAGGTATACACTGTGATCGTACCATCGTCTGCTTCTTCCCTCCAACTTTCGGTCGTGGTTCCAATGATGCTGTATTCAAGTCTCTCATACAACGCCCGAGCACGAGCATTCTCTATCTCAACTGATAATTCTGCAGCCGTGCAACCACGATCTACTGTTCGTTTCTCGAGTGCTTGAATGAGCGCAGTGCCAATTCCACGCGACTCATAATCGGGATGTACGGAGAGTTGGTATAGTGTTCCTACTCCAACGTTGACCATATAATCCACACCTCCTATACCAAGCGGCACACCGTCGACGTAAATGATGAGATAGTCAACTTCACCTTTGGATGCCCGCTCGATCGCTTCAGCAACGTACGTGAGATGTGTAGGCGATCCAGACCACGACACAAATTGAAGTTCATCCATAGATAGATTACGAACAATGAAGGCCATTTTTCCACGAAGTTTTCTTACAGAAGGCCAGCCAAAATTAACGCTTACTAATAATATTTCAATAAGATCTGACAAATTTGTGATAAATTTAAAATATTCTTTATTGATAAATATTTACCATAAGATATCACGAAAATTAGACTATTCAGTTGTGCCCACAGTAAGGTGCCGGCAATTCAAAAGATAAGCAAAATGTTTTTTTTTGATTTTTTTTCATCTATTGCTTTATGCAATACAGATTCATACAAGATTTTTGTAATTTGAGTCCCGTTCAATCCATAATAAATGAACAGAAGAAAACAGAAATTTCTTTTGTCAAAAAATCATGAAAAGCGACTTCCTAAAAAACCGTTAGAAAGAGCAAAAACACTACACAAACCAGACTTATTTCGCATAAAGTCAGTATTCTGTTCTCGTTTTATTAACTTGTTTAACGCGTTTATCATGAGTTCAAAACCTAAATTTCACTCATTCATAAGCACAATTTTTTTTTTCAATAAGCTACTTTTATAGATCATAAAAATTTCTGAATAAGATGAGATATTATACATTAATGTTTCAACTGCATAGAGTTATATATGAACGTTTTCGAAAGGCTCTCTTTCTTCTTACTTTTTCAGCAATTTTACTTGGAACTTCAAAGATTCGAAACACCGAGCACCAGTGAACGTCACAGGTAACATTCTAGGATAAATGAAACATTTCATCTTATTTATTTAGAATATTATGTTCTATAAAAGTAGCTTGTTGAAAAAACGTTTGTGCTTTAACAGGTGATCCATAAAGAATGGCCCTCTCAGTATTTTGCTTATAACTTGGTTTGGGTCTGTTTCGGAGACTCGATGTTTTTTTTGAAAGATGCGCTGCAAAATTTCTACAAAATCATACCTAAACTATAATTTCAGAACTTCAATCAAGAAAACTAAGCCAATTAGATGAAAGTCGAAAAAAATGTAAACTTCCTAAACTCAAAATTNTTTTTCTTCTGCTACTATTTCCGCTAAAAAGTGTAGCAAAAGTGAGAACTCAGTTTAGTCGTTATAAGCGAGTCAAATTTAGGTTTTGAACTCATCACCTTACTTTGAAGTATTTAAGCAAAATTTTTAAAAACAAGAACAAATTACTGAGTTTATACGAAATAAGCCTAGTTTGTGTAGTATTTTTATGCTCTTTCTAACGGTACGTTCGAAATTTACTTTTTATTTAACTCCGACTTAAAAAATTTATTTTTGTACGATGCGGCACTTGTAGTGCAAAGATGACATAGAACATAACATATCAGCCACCAGAACTTGAGTGATGAAAACATTTCAGCATTTCTGAAACGTTCAACTTTTCAACGCAGTTTACACATCTGAAAACTGTTTTTGTAAACAATGTTGTGTACGTCGCTGAGCGGACGACGAATCACGATGGACGAGCGTGACTTTAACTGAATATTTCACTGGATGTAGCTACTTTATGTATGTCCAGAGTAAGAGAAAATATCAAGATATTTTGAGAAAGTGTTAAAAATAGTTAGTAAAAAAAGTAAAATATCCTGATCGGGATATAGAATGTGATCCTCGAGAACTATTTAAAAAAAGGTGGCTGACCGGAAGAAAAATTTGGCCACAAGAAAAAAGAATCTGATATAGTTTTACACGCTCTTTTGCATGGAATGGTCAAAACTTTCCGCGAACATCATCATTTTTCGCTAACGAATTTTTATTTAAAAAAATCAAGTTTATGCCCTGATTGGGCTATATGTTTTTGACTATATCCCGATCGAGATATAGACCATGAGACTGTACTGACTGGCACAACCATATCTCGAAAGTGGCCTTCATCTTAACACTATTTCGTAGCTGCAAGATTTCCCGGTTATGAAACGTTGCAGAGAGCTCGGGAAAGTCTTAAATTAAAGTTGACACATGTGGCTAGAGGCTAATAAAGCCCGATATTTTATTCAGAAACATATCTTTATGCAAGTTAATGTGACTTTTTCAGATATTGGACTTTTGACGCTGACTATTAATTTGAAAAGAAAATATCAAAAATCCGGCTTTATTAGCCTCCAACCACATGTGTTTTCGTCAACTTAAGATCAGTCCGAGGTCTCTCCAACATTTCGTTACTGAGAAATCTTGCAGTTATAAATAGCCCCATTTTGGTCACTGTTATGGCAACACCTTGATGGATTCAAACAAAAAATTTTATCACCGTACTTTCACAAGATCAGCATCTCCTAAATTTTCGGGTCACTCGGGTCAAGTTTCGAAAATTTCCTACCACTTCGGGTCGGATTCGGCAGGGTAAAAAAGCCTTCGGGTCGAGTCGGGTTCGGGCTCAC